AAAATTAATTTTTTACTTTCACTTTTATTTTATTTTCGCATGATGATGATGAGTTGAGCTTTAAAAAAAGTGAGAATTTAACGGCCAACCCCAACTTGATTGGGACTGAGGCATAGTTGTTTGTAGTCATTGGAAGTCAACACAAGTATAAGAGCACATAAACCAGATCTTAAAAACCAGTGCTCATATAAAGTAAATACCCCTTCCACATCAAGGGAGACCATAATCCTAGCCCTTTTCAGAGAGAAATCTTGAAATGCATGTCAATGTTCAAAGCAAGAGAGCATACACGAGTACCAGTAGGCTCGATTGATAAATCAGAAAGGCAGAAGAAAACATACACGGGTACCAGTAGGCTCGACTGGTAAATCAGAAAGGCAGGATAACTTGTGAAGACAAGATGAGTTAAGCAGCGCCGGTAAGCAACTAATATTAATAAATGAAGCTCCATCATCATTCTCAAACCACTGCAGTTCTAGGCTGTCAAAGTAGAAAGAGCGGCAAGGTTAGATGATAAAGCTGTAAAAACAGATGGTTTAAGTAATAAGTTACCTATTTTCCCATTTTTTTTGTTTATATAAAATCCTTGGAAAGATGAAGTTTTATATATAAGTTATTATCTGTGAAGATTGCATATAATCAGAACAGTCACCTTTTTCTTGTCCCCATAGAGCACGCCAAACCAGATATGTAAATACTATGCCCCAGTCCTAGTCTCCCTAATGACCTGCAAGGATATATTTCTGTAAAGTATGTTTTTCACACTGATTGATCAAAGAGAATCCATAAAACTTTATTGGTTCGAGAATATCTTTTTTCACATTGATTGACCAAAGAGAATAGCACGTAATTTTATAAATTTGAGAAAAAATCTTCCTACCAGGATCGAGCAAAATGTAGCCTCACCCAAACTGCACCAGTTACATCTTGAATCTTAACAGAAAATACTGGCTCTTGAGTACTTCTGATGTCAGCAACAATACCATAGAGGCTTACTCCGGTCATCTTCTCCCGAAGATCAATAACAAATGACTGCAAACTTTAAAGTTGTAAGATGTCAATAACAAATGCCTGCATAATGGTGAGTAATGGTGTTCTTCAACAGAAAAAAACCATCCAGATTATTTTATCACCAACCAACTCTTTTCTTTATAGAATGCTTTGTAGGAACAGGGTAAGCATAAAATACTCTAAAACTTTATTTACAATTTTTTGCAGTGAATCAAAAGCATAAAAAGCTCTACGTATGAGAACAGACATCAATCGATTTGTTTGTGAAATCCAGATACGAACAGAAAAATAGCTTACATCAATAACAGATACATAGTCAGGTCAGAAGCAGTGGCATTACCCTCTATGGATGTAAGAACCCAAGATTGAAGACCAAAAAGCATGCAAATGAAACATTTTATGGTGAAGGTGAATGAACTAGCATGTCAATCAAGATGTGATTAAAAGTCAGAAACACCTTTAAAACAGACTGTTTCTTTTTTTGAAAAATAAATTCTGAAATTCAGAGCAAAATGCAAGTAGGGATGGCAATGGGGCAGGGCGAGTTGAAACTTTTATTAAAAAAACTGTTGCAGCCTTGCGGGGCAGGTTGCGGGTTTCCTCCTAGCATAGCAATTGCAAATGTTACTTGTTTTCATCTCTGTAGAAGAAACACTACAACAGCTGCCATCTTCAATAATAGGAAAATCATTGTCACAACATTAAATTTATTAATGTATGTAACAAGTTCCCAAAAAAGCACAGGTCTCTAAATTATTAAGAATACACATCGTCATATAGAAATAATTTGCAGTCATTAAGTCCCAGCTGGAATTAGATCACTTCTCCTGTTAATTGGATAAATTAACCTAGGAAAAATAAAATATTTAACTCATGTACTAAGACCAAATAAGAAAAGAATCTTCTGTTAACCAATATTCAAAAAAATAATGAATCATTTGGCTACCATTTTCTATTTTCACAAACTTAATTACATGAACTTATATGTTATTTTATCTGGGTTGGCATGTGAAATACGATTATGTACATATAATAATACAACTTAAAGTGACGAAATCATCCTTAGTTATACAAGACATTTAGATTTATTGGCTGTATGACTTGGGAGAAAAGTAAAAAATATAAAGAAGGCCATCCGTGCATTCACTGAAGCGAGAGAGGAAAATTGATTTACTAATCTATGATCTTAGTTTTTAATTTTTTTCACTGCAAAATAATGCAATATTAAATTTTGATTTAGCTTTTCTAGATTTTAAAAAAATAAAACATACGCAGGGCGGGGCGGGGTGGGACGGGCTGATGTTGGGCGGGGCGGGTTTAAAACATAGAAAAATGCTATGCAGGGTGGGGCAGGGCTGATTGAAATTTTGCAAGTTAAGGCTCAACAGGTTCCGCCCCTTTGCCATCCCTAAATGCAAGGAAGACAGAAATTCCAAAACTCTATATATCTAAAGCAACTGATAGAACAGAAAGTTTTAAGGAGCGCAGGCTTACTCGGAAAGGATAATTACTGAAGTCAATAGAACCTTGAGAATTACAAGGCAGGGAAACCTGGGAGACTACAAGTCCCTGACTTGGATCCATAGCTCTTGATAGTTTTGACCCTTTATGATGGTTCTGCGTCAATGCTACGGATACCTGAGAAGCCCGTGATCTAAGTTTCCAAGTAGTAATAAGAATTATCATCTCTTAAACTTAATCATTCAGTACTTACTTGCTCCTCATGCCGAATAAAAGGCACCAGATATAACTGGGTTGCAGTACCGTATTCAAGGCAAAATTCTTCAGATAATTCAAGAGCACTCTCAGTGGAACTCAAAATAAATGGCCTATCCAGGGCCAGCGTACTTCCCACGCTGAAAAGAACGAAGTTACAGCCAGGTACAGAAGCAGGAAAAAGAGAAAAGCAAACAAAAACAAACAAAGTAAAGGGAGCACATATGGTATCGTACCTAAATAGGTTTGCAAGCAGAACCTGCTCACCCCACAAAAGAAATTTTGAACTGACACCATCATAATCAACAAGATTAATTTGCTTCCTCTGCAAACTACCAAACTTTCCTTGAACCTCCGGAGAAGTAATAGATTCAATCCTGTAGCCATTTGGGACTAGGGTATATCAACAATGTAGCAAAATGCACAGTACCAATACCAGATGTGGAATACTACACTTAAATTCAAATTGTTAATAGTCATATGACAGAAGATTGCACCTTGCACGTAATGAATACGAGACCCCCTGATCGACTGTTCCAAGAGAAATAGAAGAGAAGGAATCTGCACAAAATTGTGCTAAAAGCAACATTGCATCATCATCTTGGTCCTACATTTGGAGTAAGAATCACATGTTTGCCTGTAAACCAGGACATGGGTTCACCAAAGAAATTGAAATGCAAGAATACTTCTATAACAATAGATCCAGGGAATAAGGATGTATCAGCTCGTGTGCACTTAATTTTATCTAGCTAATAACATTCACCAAAAACCCTATTTCAAAATGTTAACATAGGAAAAAAATAGTGGTAGAAGATGAAAAGATCAATGCAAGTTTTGGAGCTTATATATAAACTGCAATCATTAGTGGTGAAGAAAGCATTAAATTAAACCAAAGTTTTTATTTAAGATAGTCAGTCACATCTGTACTAATGGAATTTGAATTTGCTAAACTTATGAATGGTATATAACTTCTTTGTTGTTGTTGTTGAAGAATTTGGGGCATGAAGAGGAACCGACACAAATTTGTAGCAAAAATTTTGTTTTATATCAACAACAGATGACCTTGCAGACAGAACTACATCATAAGGACAAGGATAAGATGGTTAGTTGAGGCAGCTTTTCATTGAACTATCATTTAATTTTAGGAATGCCTGCAGAACTTTTACATCGGAATGATTTGTGGCTCATGCTAACTGCATTAATCATTACGTCACGGGAATATAATAACATGTGAGATTCCATGGTCATGGAGTTAACTGAGGACAATAATTCTCCCTTCCTACGCACTTTTTTCCGGAAACCAGTGACGAAGGAACCACACACAGCACATCACCTATTGATCTCATCTCCTATCCACCCTTCAAGCCGTTACATTAACCCTAGCATTAATCCACCAAAATATCTGCTAAGTTATCAGATAAAGGGAGAAGGCGGGTTACAGAGGTGCTGCTCTTTTGCTACAATTTGCAGTGGGAAACAATAAAAGATATAATATGCCTAGAATGTCTAGAATATTAGTAAATCTTTGATAAGACAAACATGAAACAACTATCATAAATGCTGAAGCACAAAAACACATATAGATTTTGACAATACCTCATCTAACAGTATCACAATATATTCAGTTGGCAAAAGCCGTGCATGACCTGAACATCCAGTGGCAGTTCGGAGGCGGCATCCTGTGAGGAAAACTTCACGACCTTTCTTCAAAATACCATTCTTTGGATCAGCTAAGCTGTAGAATCTGCTCTATCACAATTTAGAGCTCTAAGGAAGCCAAGAAATACAATATCTAGAAACAACTCCGGCAGCAAATGTTAAGTAGAACAAAAGGACATGAACAACAAATTTGCAGAAGCAAAACATTATTAGCTACGCTCTTAAGTCTAAACCATCTTGTTTTCTTCACATACCGCTAAAATTCATATTATATGGATATCAGTTCATATAACCAATATAGCATCGCTGTTAACGTTTGAGCTTTAGCCGTTACAGTACATCAATATCAAGCCAAGTAAGACCAAACACTATATTGATATTATGGCATATCATCATTACCACTTGAAGACTAAAAATCTTTTATCGAAAACAGATAAATCTTTTGTACATAAAACATTCATAGACCATTGTAGGTTAACTGCATTAATGAAGCTTGAAGCTTGAGTTACACGACAAACTAATTTTCTGCAATCTTATTTATAAATGTTAGGCGTCTATAGTATAGGAGAGAGACAGAGACAGACAGAGATAGAGAGAGAGAGAGAGAGAGAGAGAGAGAGAGAGAGAGAGACAAGAAGGCTGAGTAAACAATTTGAGTTAGTCAATAAAATTATTGTAGACAAGGAAACGTTAAATTTGGCATGAAGGTCAGGGTGGAACCATAATAAATTTTAGAGCAGAGGATGCAGAACAAGTAATGACTTTAAGTTGGTAAAATAAACTTTAGTGAAGGATCATCATACTCCACTCAATCAGGCAAAAAAGCCATTACCTACGGTGAAGATACAGATCTATTGTATTAGAACTCCAAAAATCACCCAGATGAAGCATATAAATGTTTGTTCCTGGAAGAAAATCAGTGTATAACATTCGTAAGTTTTGATCTAAAGAGTGAAGCAGAAAAAAAGCCCGTGTATGGGAAGTTAACCAGTCAAAAGCTCCATGCAAAAGATTTTAACTTTCCGTGAATTCAATGTTTCCAAATAAATAAACATTAGAATTAGCATACGCTTGCCGTTTACTTGATATAATTAATCTAAGAATTCCTATCAAAATTTTAAACACATAGCAAGTGATGCAGAAAGGATTCTCCAAGAAATAAATATTTTTTTAAATGCAAAGACTTTAAGCATCATTTGCATAATGCAAGTTCCATAGTGGTGATATAACATAAAAGCAGACAGTAGAAAGACATCAGAAGATGTAGTAATGATTTATCAATCATAAGACAACAGATTGAGACAGTTTAATCGAAAGAGTGCAAATGTAATGCCCGTGCATTATCACCTCGTGACATAAAATGTATATAAGCGGAATCTAACCTAAAGCTCCAACTGTACCTGGAAGAATGTAAGTGTCTATAATGACAGCTTCAATTACACTGTTCAAAGATAAGAACTTTTTCTCATATATAGAGTCAATGGTGACAGTATTAGGAAGCTTTGCCCTCTTATGCTTCTTCTTCATGTGACTAATACATTCTGACTGTTTCTTTGGAGCTCCACTCCTATTCAATTCATTCCAAGCCTGCACTATCATTAAATCACCAAAACATGCAAACTTAAAAAATTGTACTCCAACCTAGCATATTCCTTGAAGTATGGGGGGAAAAAAGTACTACTCTATTTGAAACCCTCCCCCCCCCCCCCCC